TAACTTTTTTGACCTCAAAGGTTTTCAATGAAGGGGGCAAACATCTGTTTTCAGACTTCTTAAAAGTCCAGGAGATGCATACTGTAATTTAAAAACCACTGTCCTAGAAGAATGCATTTACTTAAAACAAAGAAGCTAGAAAAGATTAACCTGAGGTTTTAATTTGCAGCACTTGTGTCGTGGTTTGACTCCAATCGGCAACTAAGCACCACCCAGCCGCTTGCTCACCCTCCCCCCACCAGTGGAATGGGGGAGAGAATCGGGGGGAGGAGTAAAATTTGTGGGTTGAGATAAAGACAGTTTAATAGGACAGAAAAGGAAGGGAAATTAAAATACTTGAAATAATACAATAATAATAAATTGTAATGGAAAGTAAAACAGCAAGAGAGAGAGAGAAACAAACAACAACAACAAAAAAAACAGGGAAAGAAAAAAACACAAGTGATGCAACCGCTCACCACCTGCCGACTGATGCCCAGCCAGTCCCGGAGCAGTGATCGCTGCCCTCCGGCCAACTCCCCCCAGCTTATATGCTGAGCATGACGTTGTATGTTATGGAATAGCCCTTTGGCCAGTTTGGGTCAGCTGTCCTGGCTGTGCCCCCTCCCAGCTTTTGTGCACCTGCTCACTGGCAGAGGATGGGAAGCTGAAAAGTTCTTGACTTAGTATAAACACTGCTTAGCAACAACTAAAATATCAGTGTGTTATCACATGATTCTCATGTTAAATCCAAAACACCGCACTATACCAGCTACTAGGAAGAAAATTAACTCCATCCCAGCCAAAACCAGGACAATTTGTTTTGAACTGATCTTTCCTGGGGTGCAGTGTGATGTTAACATAATGCAGTTTCGCTGTGGCTGCTTCAGGAAAGGGCTGGGTGGGTTGCTGGGTCTCGGCTGGGTGCTCCTGCCCTCTCCTTGCTTGGCCGAGTGGCGTGTCTGCTCTCGGTTGAAGTGCCTCATGCAACGGGCTCACAGCTCAATGCAGTACTAAGCAGTGGGAGTGTGAGGCTAGGGAAAGTAAACAGACTGACGTGGTCTGGTGTTTCCCACAGTTAAATGAAACCACACCTTTAGTCTGTGTTACTGATTGCCAGACAGGTATCTGACTGCAGATGGAGGGGCAGCTTTGTTAACTGGGTAAGAGAATCTAACTTCAGGCCGCTGTCAAGAGGCCTTGCTCACCAGGCCTGCTTTTCTGAATCCTGAGTGAGGTAGCTGATGGAAAAAAAACCCTGTCATTTTTATTTCCATTGGCAGAGTTGTTTTTTGCTGACTTACCGCCCTATAGTGGCTCATTTTGCAGACTGCCCAGTGTTAGCATAAGGGGAGCAGAAGGGGCACATGATGGTGAACGGATCCACCCTGGTAGCAGCTGTCAGGTTGGCATAGATGTATCATAAAACACACTGTAAGTTACCTGTGCAAGGAATTAGTGCATCTACGTGGTATCTTGGCTTTGGTGGCAAAGCTCATAGAATAAGCTTCCGTACCCCTTGTAGTTTGCTGGTCTGTGTTATGCCAGTTAAAACTGCTTACTGCAGGACTGCTCTGTGTTCGGAATAACTGAAAATATAAAAATAGCCCCCTTCATGCTTTATTTTCTGTTTATTTTTAACCCAGACTGTTTTCACAATGCAATTTGTAATGTGGTCCTACACAGGCTGCTATCTGCAGAAGAGAGCATCAGATGAGAACAGGAACAAATGATCTGTGAAAGGTGGGCAGGAACTTCTGCAACCAGCTTCTTTGTTGAAGCTAGCCAAGAAACTACATCTTCACAATGTAGCACTTATTCCTGACAAACTTCTCCAGTATTCAAACTATACTAAATGTGCTGACATTTACAGCTCTCTATGAGTAGGAGTGCTGTGGTGGAAAATTATTCGAAGGTGAAGGAAAGGGCTAGCGTAGCCTTTGCTGGGTAGGAAGCTACATGATCTGTAACGGCAGGAGAAGCTGAAATCATATGACTCTGCAGACATTGGGCAAAGAACTGTTTTCAGTATTGAAAGAATGGTTATTGCAGCTCTCTGTCAACTGTACTTTGTTTCTTCAAAATTTTTTTTAACTTATGCTTTTGTCATTTTCTTAGACAATCTCTTTATCTTGCCAACCGTGAATGTATGCTGTAGGCATACATGCTTCTAATAGATAGGGTTGTCTGCAAATACGTTTGCTTCTCGGATTGCTGATCTCTGAACCAAAGCAGAAAAGCAAGGAAGGGCGAGAGAGAGATTCCAGGCTTGTTTCAGTTGCTTTATCTTGCCTGGTTTTCCTGCCTCGTTTCAGTCTGAGGCAGCTATGTGAATGGCTGTATATAATTGCTAACATTGCTATCAGGTCCTACTAGCCCTAGGGGCTGCGGTACTTGACCAGAGCTGTTTGAGGGTTGCTGTGCTGTCCTAATTTAGGTGAAATGTTAGAAGAATGGAAACACTCTTTTTTTTCTTTCTTCCTGTTCTGTGCAGAAATGTGGTAATTGCTCTGAATTCTTTCTTAGTTTGGTGGCAGTGAGTCAGACGCTTAGCTGGTGGGTTTGGCAAAGCTCTCTTTTGTAAGCGCAGCAGTGCTGTTGTGCTTGGGCTGGGGATGTGTTCCCTTGCTTCTGTTCGGGGCATGGAGCCTGCTTGCTATCTGAACTGTTTGACCGTTGGCAGCGGGGAGTGAAATCTTATTTTCTATCTGATGCAGAGGGATTTGTTTTAGTAGTAAAACCCTTACCTGTCCTTTGCTGCTGTATGATTTTAAAAAGTTTTAATTTTAGGTGTGATGGAAGCAGAACTGATCTTGCTTTAAAGAGAACTTCTAGAAATAATTTTCATGCTTTCTTCACACACTGAAGTATTGAAGAACTGGGTATTGTTTAGACAGGTAACTGTTAGTCTCCGCTATCCATGTGCTGAGGGACTGCGTAAAATGGTGTCAAAGCAGGTATTTGAAAACGTCCACAATTTGATCCATACTTCTAGCAGTTACTCAAGTGTGTATGGTCACCTGAAGCATTTTAGCAAAAAGCTGAGAAAGAGTTCTGAAATGATGGAAACTGAGGCTGAAGCAAATAGGATTTTGTAAACATCAGTACTACAAAACTCTCAGTATTACTGATTTAGGTGCTCCTGCCATTTTGTGAGCATTGGCCCACACCACCTCAGCAAGGAAATCAGTGGAGTCATGGAAGCATCTATGTAGTCTTTGTGTCTGAGGAGGAGAGGTGAGTGCTTCATCCTTTGGAATGAGGAGGAGGAAGGGAACATAGAGACTAGTGTTTTCTCTGCAAGGGTGCTTGCCAACCTCAGGTCATGGAGCCCTGGACATAACGCCACTTGAACAAATGGACTTGCTAACTCTTGGTAAGACTTGTACGGGTATTTGAAAGGAAGCCTGCAGATCCAAGTAATGGTGCAAGACACCTGGAAGACTCGGTCACTCTTTCTATATGATAAAAATGAGGATTGGCATATTGCTTTTGCCTGGAAAAGGTCTGTGTTGGTATTGCAAACTGTGCTTTTAAGTGGTTTGGCTTTCTTGAAACAAGCTGTTTGAGGAAAGAGTGCTACAGAGTTAACATGCTGTTTTAACCAAACACAGCTGTGGAGCAGGTTTTGAGCCCAACATGGTTACTGAACACTGTACTGTTTTTTGTTCACAATTATGCAATTATTAGTACACTTCAGAAAATTATTTTATTTGAAATTTGCTCACATAAATCTAAACCTTAAAAAAAAAAAAAAGTAGAAGCATCATGAGGTAAAAGTATTGTGCCTTTGCTATATTTTTTCCCTTTCTCCATCTCCTATTTTTGTCTCACCAAAACTCTATCATTATGGAAAGACATAGTTAAAACTTGGCTCAGCCCTTTCTATCCCGCCAGACTGGATTGTTCTTAAGGCAAACCAATTTAATTGTACTCCAACTGCTTCCTCTTTGCATTGTTTGTTTCTGTTAGGTAAATGGTCCCGGTGGGGATAGTATCTTCAATACCTTGTATGGTCCAAAGTGTTATTATATTTCAATCTGATTCTGTTTGTTAGTATTATATTGTGCTAGGACAGAAAGACAATGGTGTGCATTGTTTTTTGTAACATAACCGAAGTTTTCTTTAAAGTTATTTTGGTCTTGGATATACAGTAACTCTCCCTGTCTGTGCTATGAATGTGATCATGTTAGAAGAACAAGTTGATGCTGAATGCGGATGGCACCAGTGTCCTGGAGCTGTACCGTAAGAGAGTCTGGGAATAATCGTGTAGTAATGTTGCTTCCAAGCTTAAATAACTGAGCTTATGGGAGGTTTTGGGAGTAGGAAGCTGTTTTTCTGAACAAGTGTCTTTTTTCCTTGATCGGTATCATTGGCTTTGAACCACAGGGGGATGGTTCCAGGAATTGTCCTGCAAAAATTGTTCTTTGAAAAAACTGCTTTTAAATTTGCATTGCAACCGCGGGCTCTAAACTGAGGGATCAAAACTGAAGCCATCTTTTGAGACCTTTGCATTTTTTCTGTTAAATGGCTACATGTCATGCCTGGTTATCGACGCCTCCTATGAGAAAACATCCTTCATGTTTAACTAAACCGCTTGCAGGAACCTCTCCAGCTCACTTGTTGCACTGAGGGGAGCCCTCCCTTGCACAGGCAGGCTGCTGCTGTAAAATGAAGTCATCCCTTACAGCCCTGTCTCCCCCTCCTCTGCCCCCAATCTGGTCTCTTCTATAAAAGGGTTTGGAAAACCTTCCTCCCTCTTGCCTGGCCCTGTTTCCGAAGGGAATTGCCGGTAAACGGGGCCGGGCCTCTGGCCTTATCTCTGTTGTCAGAGCTGCCTGCCTGGTAGGTGGCAGCGGGGGCAATGCTTTTCAAATGAGACTTTCCTGTGCTGAGGGAGGCCCTTGTTTTTTTGTTTTAACAGCTTCCTATTGTTTGAAACAGCAGGTTGTCCCCTCCCACGCTATTCTAGCTCTTTCCTCCTCCCTTAAATATTTTTTTCCATGAAAGTATTACTCAGAGCAGTTACTCTAGCAGTGAGTCCTCTTGAGAGTTTTCCCAACCCGCTCTGATCTCCAGCTTTTGTTGCAATACCAGTGTGGAGTTCACACAACAGAAAGTGGCCTCTGAAGGTAGGTCTTTCCGATTTTTAAATCTGTTGTTTTAATTCAGCGTCACCACTGCTGTGATATGACTGGTTTTTTGATTGAATCCAAGTTGTCACAGGAATTCTCTCCTATATATGGTACTGAAAGGTAGAAAATACTGCTTTTCAGTGTGGATTGTCTTTGTTTCTAAGACGCAAAGAAAGAGTATCGCTTCAGTTTGTTAATAGTTTGCTTTTCAATATTCTAGTCCTGCTGTCTAATGCTGTTTCGTATATGTACATTTTCTTTATGTTCTGCTACCTGTGTGAAAGGCACTTTCTAAGCCATAAGCTGCCTCTGGTCCACCATACCGTAGCTTCTTCTGACTAATAGCATCCATGATAAATTTGAAGATTAAGCCAGTCAGAATATCTTCTCACCTTAATGTTTGTCACAGCTGGAAGGGATGTTGGTGGTTCATTTCCCATCCTTGTTACTTTGCAGTATAACCATTACCTAGTCAGAAGCTCTCAGGACTGCTTTGATAATTTAGATGCGGTTTTGCTTCCCTCTACTTGTTGAATTCTGTGCTAGAAAGTTGATAATGAAACGAGGTATTAAATATATGTAGAGCTTTTTTATTATTTTAATGTGTTGATTTATGAAAGTCAACTTGCTTTGGCTGATTTCCTGATCCCCTGCCTTCTGTAAAGTGTGTTGTTTCCAAAATAAATAGTAATTACTCTGTGAGTTTTGGAAGTCTACCACTACTATTCCATACTTCTCACTGCTTCAGCTTAGCATGAAGTACATCTTCGTTTAAATTTGTAGATATTAAAAAAACCACAAACTATTTTCATACATTTGGTGATACTAAGCAGAGGTTTTAATTCCACAAAATGATAGATCCGGTTCTAGAGTTTGTCACGAGAGGTGTGGGGGGGAAATAATCTATGTATCATTTGCACTGCTCATCATTCAGTATAATAAACACATTCTGCCTGTTAAAATGCATTCCAAATTGTTTTTTTACAGAATAACTTCTTTGTAATCCTGGTGTGTTTCAGGCTGCCCGAGATACTGATCATAGTCTGCCGAGGCAGGGCTCAGCTGATCCACACCTGGAAGAGGAAGTCCTGCTCTCCTTGCCCTGGCTATAACTTCTTGATGAGTTGATTCAGCTCACTAAACCAGTAGGAAATAAACCAAGCCCCTCTCCTCCCCTCTTCCCATCCCCCCAAAAGTGCTAATTTTGTGAGCTGAATTTGCTCCTGTGAGCCAAAGGGCAGAGGTGTTAACTGTCTGCCCCAGAGCACTGGGGAGGAGAGAGGGGAGTGCCCTCCTCCCTACTTTGGTCGCTGTGAAATTTTGGGTTCGTTTGTCCATATAAAAAGGTCACTTTCAGACAACCCCTGTCTGAGGTGCTGGGTCCTCCTTCTAGTACATTGTACTTGGTGGGAGTTAGAGAAGCCTTAGGCTTTTTTTTTTTTAAACTGACAGTTCAAGAAACCTCTTGCTTTTCTTTGACAAATGGAGCAGCATTGTGGTGGACATACAGGGGTTTCATTTATAATGTAGTTACGCCTATAGGTTACAGTGGGTAATCTCAGAGGTTTAGGTGTCTTAAAAACCCAAACAGACTGATTACGGGTTAGAGTGTTCTCCCTCTAAGGCCAAAGAAACATGACAAAGAGCCAGAGGAGCGAAGGAAGCAGACTGTGGTGGCTGTCACGGTGAACAATGGTTTTGGCACACCTGCTGCCTTGCCGCTGAGCTTCTCCGTGCTTGGCAGGAAAGGAGTGATTTGGAGGATAACCAGATAGTTTTGTAGATGTTTTTGGTATGTTTCCATTTTTTCTGAGGGAGAGAAAACAGAAGCACTTGCTTTATAATGTAACAAATGGCTGGTGAAGACTGGCACCATCAACTTTTGGAGCAGGATTTAATAATGCACTTACAAATGGGAAAGTCAATATTATGCTAGACCCGAGGGCCCTCAGAAGCAAATGCAGGGAGACTGACGTACCATGGGAAGGGGGAATAGTGGGATATAGTCAAAGCAGTGTGTTAGAGAAAATTATGCTCATACTACCCTTCTGAATAGATTTAAACGTATTTATATACTTATTCAAGAAAAAGAGTTTTTCTGGTAATCAAGAAGCAAAATGAAGAGAGCTGTAATAAATGCATTTGTAGGAAGGTTTTGCAGTACAACACAGTTTTTGACTCCACCAAGAGCCAAGTGATGTTAATCAGTTGCTGTTTTCTCCTGGGAGTTGTCATGGATGTAAGCTGTGAGACAAGATTACTATTCCCAAAGAACAGCGTGTCACAGCCATGTCATTTCATCCATTTTCCAGTTGCATCTCTTCAAGTTCTGATGTTTTGGATCATAATAATAATCTTTTTAACTGTTGTATTAATATGTATGAAATTCCACAAGTTTTCTTGAAGTTTCTAATGTACTCAGTTCCACAGAGGATGTGTGTTACTATTCCTGTCCTAATTGCTGAGCACCTGGGTCACTAGAGTGTATTGGAATTGGAGGACTTGGGGGGACTGGAAAAAAATGAGACTGCTAAAAAGCCAGAATAGCTTCCTTCTAGTCTAGCAAAGAAAATACATCTAACACCGCACATTTTGGCTCAAGCTCAGAGCAGTTTAGCTTCAAATGGAGTGACTTCAGTTCCGATTGACCAGAAATGTAAGATTTTTCCAGGTCAGCCACTTGGTTGCACGTGTGCACATACACACGCACGTGTATGATTTATTTTATTTTCTTAATCACAGAGGAAGGATGCATAGACTTTTAATCTGGATAGAATATTCTTATTTTTTCCTGTCTCCCTTACAGGTGTGTATAAGGAAGTGTTATATGCTGTAATGCTGGTTAAGCAATGAATAATAATAATAATAGTAACAGTGCATCTGAATGCTTTCTTCTAGTATTGAAGGAAAATTTTGTAATTGATTTCTCAGCAAAGCATTTATTGTGGTGTAACGAGGTGACTGAAAATACCATCGTGGTGTGGTAACCCTTCTTGATAGGGACAGCATTTACAGATGTTGCTTTCCCAGATGTCAGGCGATCCTTGAAGGCTGGTTATTCTGAGGGAGAGGACTTTTAAACAGGACAATGGTTTTGTCCTTTTATTGCCTTGCTGGTGTTCTGGATCTGTATCTGTTTCTGTACCAAGGTGCTAATCTTCCTCAGACCCTCTTCTGTCAAACGCAAGAGTTATGTTCCTTCAGCAGCTTTTTGTGTCACCAGCGTATTGTCTAGGGAATTCTGGGGAAAACAAGTTATATTGTATAGCGTTACAATGCTCGGAGACGCGAGCCTGGAGCAATATCAACAGGTCTTGTCCTAACAGGATTTGGCAAGAGGAGGTGTGGGCAACGTGTGGTGTGTGACTCTGCTGCGCAACTGGAAGGTGAAGGCTCTGTCCTGTGACCGGCTCCAGGTGGTGCTGGTGTGGGGGTGGCCATGTGATCTGGACTGGGGGCTGTGGGAAGAAGCAAGCCTCAAAGACTATCTTGGGTTGCCATAGCAGGATATGGAGTCCTCCACAGGTTTGAGGTGGATGTGTCTAACCCTTCTCCTGTGGTGAGCCCCCAAAAGACTGAAAGGATTTTAACATCAGAAAACCCAAATTTTATTTCAATAAGTACTAGAAATTTTGCTTTTTTAAAAGAGAAAATTCCAAAGAACTAGGGAAAACAAAATGGAAATAAGCTTGTGTGCAACTTTCCTGTTGCCCACTATGTCTCTGCTTCCCAGCCTGTCAGTCACTGAGTGGCCCCAAATGTCTGTCAGAAATTTTGTGCCATTTCTGAGGCCAGCCATACCCTGCAGTCCCTGGAGCGCTCTCCTTTGAACACCCTTGGGTGTTCAAGGTGGGGGGGGACAGGGTAGGATGGGGCTTTACCCCTGCTCCCAAGGGTGTTACATGGCACAGCCACACTTAAAGGATCACACACATAATTAGAAGCAAGAAAGCAAACACTTACATAAACTGTATCGTCCTGAGACCCGGTTACATCCCCATCCCCTGCTGCGTGCGATGAAGCGGAAGAACCCCTAGAGCCGCTGTTGTCTCTTGCCCAAGACCTTTCCCCAAAGCTTCTCTGTGCTCCACCCCCAGCCCTGAGGCACTCTGCTTGAAGGGATGAGACACATCAATTTAGGCTGGGTACTTCTCTGTACAGGGGGGAAAAAAAAAAGATGAAGCAAGTACACAGAATATAATATACCAGTTTAGGATGCTGGGCTTTCTAAATTTCATGTGTTCTGGGCTGGACTAAGCCAGAAGCTGTGTAATCCTTTGTGCTTAACCTTGCAGCGTTCCTGGGAGTCGCTGCTAGAAGGGTATGTGGTTTCTGCCAGGAGCACGTTGTCTTTAGTTTCACAAGTGGTTTCGGCCATTGATGCAGGATCAGATTTGGGAGAGTAACAGAAGTAGCTGCTTGCTTTCCAGTAGAGCTCAGACCCACAGCAGCCTTGAAACAGTTGAACCACTGCTGAAAGCAATTAAACTAAATCTTTGAAGTAAGTATGCTTTTATTTACAGTCCAGGCTGAAATCCTATTGTCTGAAGTTGAGCAAGGCTGCTATTTTCTCTAGCTGCGCTTTCAGTGTTGAACTCGGTGGCTTTAACATTTGTTGTTGGCTGGGTACTTTGCAGTGCTGTCAAGCCAGGCCTCGTTTTTGTATATGGGGGCACGTGTACATACCCTCAAACATGCTCTTTTTCATTCTGTTTTAAAACAACAACAAGTTTTATAAGGGTGTTTTCCTCTCCACATGTACCAGTTGGTTAAATGTATTATAACTTCCCTGGGCACCCACAGAATTCTGTTCTAATTTCATATTTAGTGGGCTTCTTCCAGTTGCAAAGAGAGGAACTCTTGTGGACTACCTCTTCATGCTCTTTTTCTGCCAGTGAGCAACCTGCAAATAATGTGGAAAGGCTCCTTACCTCCTCTTGAGCACTTTCTCCCCCCCACCGCCCCGTAGGGAGCTTCTGGTGCCACTCAGTAGTGTC